AACACAAATTTGTAAACTTTCTTAAGACATGGTGAGAGTTTTTTGGTGATTTTTAAAGCTTGTCAGCTATTGTTAGCGATAGTGTATTTTATGCGTGGCTCAAGACAATTCTTGCAGTGTAGCCCAGGGAAGCCAAAAGATTGGACACCCCTGTCCTAAAATGTCATTTAGCTGTTCCTGAAACAGGCCACACCGACTCTGTCAAAGGACTCACCCATCTCCTGCAACGCCCCTCAGAGCTTCTCCACACTCAGCTCTCTGCCCACGTGTCCCCTCAGAGCAGCCATCCCGCCTCCGGCACACCCCCCCAAGCCCGCCCCGTCAGCACCCACTCCCAGCGCCACACTCGAAACACACACTGCCCTCCTTTATTTCTCTCCATTGCATTTACACTCCACTTGACCAAGTCCATTACTTATGTGTCTGTCTGCTTGCTAAATGTCTCCCTCACTAGATTATAAGCCTCATGAGGGCTGGGATTTTGTCTGTTTGGTTCATTGCTGTATGGCCCAGTCCTAGATTACCACTTGGCATCTAACAAGCATTAAATATGTATTAGCTGAATTGTCAATCAAGGACATTTTCAAGCAGGATTTTTGGAAGTGACAGAAACACTGTTTCAAAAGGAGACTCCTGTAATTATGAAGACTTCTGATGAGTATCATATAACATATTCCAGGTACTTTGATTTCTTATAATACAATTTCATGCTGGGATAGAATGTGGAGGATCTGTAAATGGGTTACACTAACAAGTTCCCGGGTCTGTCATCTGTCCCAAACATCAGGAGCCTAAGCGAGATTTGGCAAGTCTTCTTTCAGTCAGGGTCTGCTCTGCATTGAACTTCCCAGCAATTACTCCAACTGCAGCTCTTCAAGATTGCTTCAGGTGTGAACCTTCCATTTTACAGAGAAGACGACCAAGGCTCTGAGAAAGTAAATGATGATTTTTTTTTTTTTTTTTTGAGACGGAGTTTTGCTCTTGTTACCCAGGCTGGAGTGCAATGGCGCGATCTCGGCTCACCGCAACCTCCGCCTCCTGGTTCAGGCAATTCTCCTGCCTCAGCCTCCTGGGCAGCTGGGATTACAGGCATGCGCCACCATGCCCAGCTAATTTTTTGTATTTTTAGTAGAGACGGGGTTTCACCATGTTGACCAGGACGGTCTCGATCTCTCGACCTCGTGATCCACCCGCCTCGGCCTCCCAAAGTGCTGGGATTACAGGCTTGAGCCACCGCGCCCGGCGTAAATGATGATTTTTAACTCAGGTTTTCCAGATAACCAGAGGCAGAGATTGAAATCGAGCTTAGGTGTTCTGCCTTTTTCATTCCTTGTTCTTACTGTTGCTTTTTAAAGAATGAAAACTCTGGACTCCTTGAACTGAAAGAGATCTTAGAGATCTTTTAGGTCAGCATTTGCTAGTTCTGCAGGATGTGAAATTTCTTGAGTATTTATTGTGTGACCAGAGAGAGACTGACGTGGGTTTTCTCTATTTCTCATAGCATTTCAATTCTCAGTGGTAACTGGGATTCCTCAAAGAAGGGTTAGAATTGTTGAGAAATGAAATAGCTCTTCCCAGGAAAGATGTAGCCCAAAGATACAAAATGATGGTGGCCTGAGTTGGAAACTATGGTTTCCTGCATTTTTATTTATGGTGTGGCATCAAAAGTCCAGGTTCTGCATTTCTAAAATGTCCTGATTAATGAATTTCACTCACAGCTTTTTTATTCCCTTTTGATTTGATGGAAAATGTGAAGCATTTGCACAGGGAGGAAAATATAGCCTCTTTTCATTTTGCTTAAACCCCACAAGGCTTTACTCAGTAGCACCTGTTTGGGTGGACTTCAACAAGCATCTCCAAAATAGAAATGTTCCATTAGTAAATTGTTTGGGAAATAGACCGTGCTCAGGAATGAGCCACTGAAAGAGCTGCAAAGTTATTCTGCTGTTTCATCCTTGCCTATTTTCACCTGGGGGAGTTTCGTGTCCTATTTTTAAACTACGTTTCACCTTAAGCAACAAAGCAGCCCTTTGGAAATTACATATAAAGTCTATTATTGTAATCTGTTTATTAAAAAGTATTTTGTCTCTTAATTAGTATTAGATCCAAGAGTGCTGCTATGTTTATTTACGTATGTATAGACATATGTACATACATGTTATGTATATTTCTTGCTATGCATATAATATAAACATTGTACCTTATATATTATATCTTAGATAATATATAATCATATATACTCTATGCTATATTTACAAATATACGCACATGTATATATGTGCATATATATAAATAAAGCACTGATGTGGAAATATACATAAAGCACGAAGCGTGTGCGTATATATATTATATATGCTAATCCTTTATGTATGTTTTCCAGTCATTCCTTAAGTTCTCTAATGCAACTGTTAGTTCTAGTTCTCCATTTCTCAAGCAAAGAGCCTCATTAGAGAATTTACGTCTCTAGTCCAAGGATGCGCAGTCATAACAAACTTGATATTTCACATCGGTGCTGATTCTGGAGCCTCTGTTTCCCCTCCACTACATCATTCTGGTTTTCTCACAGTTAAAAATATAGGAACATCAAATACCCCTGTATCGGATGGAACAGAAAGGAAGCTAATAACTCATCTACTTAAACTTCATTTTCTGGGAGAAATGGGAGCCCGAAGAACTGAAATCACTTGCTCAAATGCACGTAGTTAATTAACCGACAAGAGTCAGCACTTCTCAGCATCTATTTTCACTCCAGGATTCTACTCATATTGTAGAATCTCATTCAGAGTGAGATTTTGTTGGAATTTACTCCCCCAAATGAAACTAGATTTATTGTATTTTCTGTCTAGGTAAAGGAATTTGTGATTTAAAAAACAGCCTTAACTCTGTCCACATAAAATCGTGAATATGCATAAGAGATGTATGAACGATGGACTCTAAAATATTTATGGTGATTATCTCCAGGTAGTGGGATTTCAGATGATCTGTCTCTTTCTCTATACTTTTTTAAAGGTCAGGTGCTCAGTTAATAACCCTGTGTGTAGTTTTTTTTTTTTTTTTTAGCATTCTCCTGTTCATGTAACAATATACAAACATGTATACATGTATTTCAGGGTTGTCATATTTGTTTTACAAAAATGTTTTTCCCCATACATTCTCTGAAGTTTGCTTCTATCACTTAAAAACATTTTGTAAAAATCTCTCCAAGTCCATTGGTAAAGCTCTATTTAAATATTGCCCAACATGACATGGTTGAGAATGTGCCACGGTTTTACTCATTCCTCTTTCAATGAGTTCTCAGTTTGTTTCTCCATGTTTGCCACCACAGGCAATGCTGCAATGAATATCCTTGTACTGGTGGCTTTATTTCTACAGAACAGATTCCAGCAGTTGAACTGATGAGTCAAAGTCGTCATAGATTTAAAATGCTAAGCGGTATTGCCAGAATGCACTCCAAAAACGACTGTGACATTCCACGTTTCCACTAGCAAGGAACTCTTTTCTGTGAACCCCCACCACCAACGAAATCAGTCTTTAATGTTTACCAACCTGAGGGGTGAGCAGTGCTACTGCACCGTCTCATTCTAATTGGCACTTCCCTGATTCATAACATTAGCAGGCACTTACATTATGCTTTGCCCTGTGCCAGGCTGTGTGCTCAGGCTCTACATGGAGCACTTTACATATATTAGCTCTCAATCCTTACAACAATCCCTTGAGACAGATACTATAATCATCCCCATTTGCAAGATAAGGCAACTGACACACGAGGTGTTTGATAACTTGGCCAGGGTTATATGACTAGGCAGTCTGTCTCTACAACGGCTTAACTAGTCCAGTCACTGCACAGGGCTTCTTCTGGGCACACAGTATTTTCATGTGTTTATAGATACTTTGGAATGCTTTCCATAAACTTCTTACTTGTATATTTTACTTACTTTTCTATTAGATTGCTATTTGATTCTCAATTTGAAGAGCTATTTGATAGATAGATATTAACTGTAATTCTTTACAATCTGGTTGCAAATGCTTTTACCTAAATTTAACATCTCTTGATTTTGTTAATGGTATTTTTTTTACCATGTGAAAGTTTTTAAATTTTAAGTGTCAATCTATATTCTAAATATATGTCAGACAATATGTTCTGGTTTTCATATACATGTATGCCTAATTTTTTTGTTATTTTATGGCTTTATTCAATCAGAACTTTATCTTTGAATATGCTTTCTTCTGGATGAATAGACAGAGCCAGTATCACTTATTATAGTATATTAACTGTCCTTTCTTTAACTAGATTAAAATATGATTTTCATATAGTTTACTATATTATTTGAACACATTATTATAACACAGTAGTTATCTGTGAATTATTTGAACACGGTTATTTGAACAGTTATCGGTGAACAGTGAGAAGCAAAAGTTCTCAGTTCCTCTTTCACAGTTTCTGTATTTTCCACAATTGATACGTCATCACATATTACAATGATAATAAGAAAGCATGGTACATATTATTTTTACTTAGAAAATATAAATGTAAAAATAGAAACAAAATCTATGACCTCACATTCAGACTCAACATCTCTTCCATTTCGATGTCATGCAATGTTTTCTGACGGAGGTTTAATTTCAAAGAAACAGCATCAATAACGTGGGCTCCACAGTCTCCCCACATCCCTCTGAGCGCCCGGCGAGGGGCTGGGGGCGGCCCCCGCACCTTAACCCACGAGGACCTCTCCCAGGGACCTTCTTACATTCTCTCTAATCTTCCCCAAAGCCTTGCAAGATGGGAGTGATAGTATCATTATTCCCTCTTCAGAGTTTCCGCGCTCAAGTCCCCGCACCAAGTGTCTCTGTACGGGAGGCCCGATGGTTAGAGCGCGGAGCTCGCGGAGTTCCAGGCCAGCCCCACGACCGCGCTCCACGGGCCAGGGGGACCCTGAGCTTCCATGTCTAGTACAATCATGACTACAAGACGGTTTTCCTTAAAGGGGGGCTGTGAGCATTCAGCGACACCGCGAGGAAAAGCCCTTAGCTCGGCGCCGGGGAACGGCGGGCGACTTCCGAGGCCCCGGGGGACCCGCAGACACCCGGCCGCGCCCTGCGCAGCCGCCCCCGCCGCGGGGCCCTCTCCCCGGGAGCCGCTGCCTCGCCCGGGCCTCCGGTTGACGCGCAGCGCCCCCAGCCGTCCGCAGGCGGGATCGACGCTTCGGTCCCCCCGAGGTGAGGGCGCTGGTGCTGCGGGGCTGGCGGCGGCCTCCTCTTCCCCCCACCGTCGCCCGGCAACCTGGGGGTCCGCGTGGCTTCTGCCGGACCGGGGGCTGGGGGATGCGCTCGCCTCTGTCCCTCCAGGGCCCCTTCCCTGTCCCAGGTCGATTCCCCTCCGTCTGACCGGCCATCGCGAGCAGCTGCGTCTCCCTCCTCGGGGGGTCGTCCCTGTCCGGCTGCCGGGACCCGATTTTCCCTGCGAAGCCTTCGCCCCGCAGGGGGCCTCGCCCCGGCCTCGGAAACGGCAGGGCGCGGGCTGGGCACACGGCCCTCCCGCCGGCGAGCAGGCAGCGCCCGCGTTCTCTGGCGTTTGGAGCAGCCCTGCCAATTCGCTCGTACTCTGCCCACGTGCCCGGGACTAAAAAGGAAGCGGGCCAGGCCCGAGCAAAATTAGACAATGGGCTCCCAGAACACCGAGGGCGAGGGCGGCCCGAGCACCTGCTGTTCGCGCCCCTCGGGGCTGAAATTGGGCACGGAGTCGGCGAGGGAGGCCTTGCGGGGAGGGAGGGGTCGAGCTGTGCGTTTGCTGCAGGGAATTCTTCCTCCGCATTCCAGATGGGACTCCACGCGGGCAGCCCGGAGGAGGGGGTGGGGAAAGACCAAGCCCCGCGCTGGATTCCCTCGGGGCCGCAGAGTGGGGTGCTTACCGCTGGAGCCGGGCACACTGTCCTCTGCCTGGGGGACGCCTTCAGGACGGGACAGGGTGGCGGCCTCTCCAGAGGCCCAGCTGGCCGCTGCGAGCCCGTGTGTGGGCAGGGGCAGGGGGTGAGGAGGAAGCTTTCCGAAGAGAGGCGCATGCGGCTTCTTGTCCCACGTTCCTTACAGATCCGCTCTGCAACCTCGGTTCCTTGAGAAAAGTTCAGGTTTCTTTCTCTAAACAGCAGAGCGAATAAAAATCCCTATCTTGTACCCTATGAGAAGAAGAGGAGATGAAATGTTGAATCCATATAGTATCTGCTTATAGAGTTACTGAGTTCTATTTTGGGATGAAGAAAAATGTAAACCTTACCATGGTAATATTTTTATCTTTGAGGTTAACTAAAGCACCAGAAGGTATGAAGGCAAAGAGAGGAAACGGGGCAATGGAACGAATACTTCTCAAGGATCTCTCAGGTGCCACGGACTGGGCCAGGTGCCTTCCATGTGCTACCTCATTTCACAGGGCAGGTAACATTTCTGAACGATGAGGCAGCTAAAAAGCAGACAGCTTCCTGGCACATTAGAGAAACAAAAGAAATGTAAGAGACTGGAATGCCTGCTGTGTCAAAACACCTAATGAGGAAACAACGTCAGAGAGAATTCGTCGTGCTAATTCTCCAGCTCTGCCAGAAGAACTAAAATAAATGTGTCGCCAGAGGAATCACAAAGCAAAGTCTATTACTGTTCTGGGGATTCTATGCGGGAGTCCGAGGTGCGACAGGGGATGGGACATGTGTTACGTGTTAGTATCATGCTGAATGGCAGTGCTTCATGCGAAGGGCACTGCATTGGGAATACGTATGTCCTAGTAAAAACCACGGGCACACTCAGAAAGGTAGAGCAAGACAAAAATTGTAACAAAAAACGAGGAGGATGGATGCCATTGTTTTGAGATCTTGGCTACAAAGATCAGTAACAAGGGCGACGCCTCCGAACTTGGACAGGCAGTTTTTGGGCACAGGGATGTTTCGTGCAGGGTTGTGACGCCCTTTATGCAAGGTTGCGTGCTTTGCAGCGTCTTTTGTGATGGTTTTTATCACCAGGCACACAAGCCTGAGAATTCTCTCTTCACTGCCTTTCTTGGCCCTATTAGTCAGGTGTTTTTCTTTTTCTTGTATTAGTGACTCCATGCCCTATTAGTCAGGTGTTTTTCTTTTTCTTGTATTAGTGACTCCATTTTGTTTCTGACAACTTTCACAGAACAAGTGTGTGTAAATCACAGGTTCCTGTCTGAACGGATTCTGATCATGTCTTCTCATGGAGTGTAATTTAATGCCTCAAAAAAAAAAAAAATTGATCACCTAATGAAGACCTCTTTGCTGACCTGTTTGTGGTCTCCTCTGACTGGTGGGGGTCCCAGGTGATTTGCTCACCAATGTGAACTCATCAGAAAAGCATTGAATGTAGCCTCTCTCCTTCATATGATTGCCCTATCAGTTTACGGGACATGTAACCAAATGCTATGCTCATTTCTTTCTTGATAAGGGCCAGCCTGAGGTTTCCAAAGCTACTCTAAGAATTCAGGGGTCCTCAGTGATGTTCCAGGCCCATGGTGCAATGATAGCTGCTGCTGCTTTTTTTTTTTTTTTTTTTTTTTTTTTTTTTTTTTTTTTTTTGAGACGGAATCTTGCTCTTTTGCCCAGGTTGGAAGGTAGTGGCTCAATCTTGGCTCATTGCAACCACCTCCACCTCCTAGATTCAAGCGATTCTCCTGCCTCAGTCTCCCCCAAGTAGCTGGGATTACAGGCACACCCCACCATACCCAGCTAAGTTTTGCATTTTTAGTAGAGACAGGGTTTTACCATCTTGGCCAGGCTGGTCTCGAACTCCTGACCTGAAGTGATCCATACGCCTCGTCCTCCCAAAGTGCTGGGCTTACAGGCATGAGCCACCGCACCCGGCCCTTGATAGCTCTTTATCAGCTTGTGCAGGCACCTCTCATGAATAACAGCAAGATCACCTGTTGTCCTGTGATGAGCTTTTCTCAACTTTTCTTTCTGTGGATTAAAGCCAATTTTGGATTTAGCTGCTAATGCTCAAAATAAAAGCTCAATCAATAACTGTCCCTGCTTCATAAATGGGCCAGCATTTTATACGCCTTCAGATCTGGGGTCAGTTAAGTATGATTTTCATAAAAACATGCATAATTTTTTGGAAGTAGTCAAAGGAGTGCCCCATAGAGCATGCTTTGTGCCTTTTGTTTAAAATGTTTGCTAATGATTTACAGTCCCTTTTTGATCTTTGCAAAGAATGCCTATATTTCCATCAACCTAACCCTTCCTGCCTTTGAGGACAGAAAAGTTAGTCCTCTCCAGGGTCAGAGAACAAAAACAGAGCTTTCCCTCTCTACCTTCAGATATGATGGCTTAGAATGAATTACTGCTAAGCCAAAATCATTTTTTGGCATATGTTCCTAAAAATGTAATTAGTCCGTTTACAACTCTAGGCAGCAGGTGAGCTCATTCTATTTCATAGAGAGTCATTCCACAACCAACATTCGCTGAAGGATTCACAGAAACCTATGTCATTTCAACGTGATGCGTTACAAGTATGTTGTTAGAATTTTTCTGTCTATGAGGTAAATATTTGCTAAGTATTATGAATTTTTCTTCATTATGCTCTCTGGTGAAAAACTTGGAAATTTCATCCGTGTGTGTGTGTGTGTGTGTGTGTGTGTGTCGTTATTTTTGGGAAATGTCTCAAAAGTATCTTGCAAAGAAACTCCTGGCCCTGCCCACACGGTATGTCTCCCTCCACCCTCTTTTGTCTTTTTCTATCAAACTTTTTTTAACACTCACTGTGTATCAGGCACTCTAGGCACGAGAATAGAGTGGGGAACAAATGTGGCACAGTTCTCCGCCTCATTAGTCTTACATCATATTGGAACAAGAGTGTGGGTTTGGCTTCTTACTTTTTATCTGAAGATCCAAGCCTTGTTTTCCCATGTATTTGCTTTTGGAATCATGTGGACCCAGCTCTTGGCAACAGAGATCCACAAAAACCTTGTGCTACTCAGCTCTGCTGTCCCAAAGGTTACCCTTTCTCCCATTAAGGTTCAAAGTACGAATACTGGTTTCCAAGCTTCCTTTAAAAACAGGACTTTTTTCTAAAAAGAAAATTGATTTAGAAACCAAATATGTCAAATAGACTATTTTGAAGCTACTCTATTTCTATCTAAAATAGGATGGAACGCTAGCTGCCTTCTTGAGTCTCCTACTTTCTCCAGAGCTCTGAGAGAATCCCACCAAGCCTGCTTTAAAACAGACTCTCCCCTGGAGAACTGACTTACCTGGAGCGTAGCCTCTGCGGGCCCACACTCTAGGCTGAATGATAAATCCCGGGCTGAACTGAGAGGAATGTGGCCCTCAAGCTTGTCAGTGGGGTTCCTCGTTGTTTTTCTGTACATCTTTAAAAGGGCTGCCTTTTTCAGAATCGATGAGCAAAATCACACTTCCTCATGTCCATCTGGTGCTCTGTATGGTGTCCGAGTCTATTCAAAATGATAAAAACTACGACTCAGTGTTGAAAGGAGAGGCAAGCGAGGTGCCATTGTTGAAACAGGCTTTCCGATTGGGATTGTTAAGACTGAATTTCTTTTTCCTCAGCAGGGCTTGCGTAGGGAGCTCCGCACCTCACTTAGTTTAAACAGCAGGTTCTTACTCCACAGTCAAGCAAAACAGAAAGGTAAGCGGGTCAGATCTCAGATACTTGCAAAGAGGGTAACAAAGAAAATAGCTTGGGCACATATTTCACAGAATAAAAATCGGCTAGTCCAGCGTTTGTATTTCTGGAGGATAGGAGACAGAGGGAGGGAGGGAGGAAGGGGGAGAGAGAGAGGTGTTTCTAATTCAGACCTGCAGCATAATTTCACCATCTGCTAGAACGAGTCCCCGTGACACAAAACTCTGCAGCTTCCTACCTTCTCACGCCCCCATTCTGCTTCCACTCCATTGCTAGGAGAGGCTGTCTGGAACTGGAGAGTTTTGAGAAGCTGTTGGTGGAGGAGTTTTTTTTTTCCCAGCAGAGTGGATCTATCCTGGGGACCAACAGCCTGAGAGCCTGCGGGGCTTACAGCTCTCCAGGACTGAGGCCCTGGGCAGAGATTCATCCACATATTTATTTGCTCTTTGACAGGTGATTCTTATTAATACACAGGTGTTCTACATGTACATGTAACTCAGGGACATGCCAAGTAGGCAGCCGTTACTTGCCTACCGCTAATTATAAACTAAAAGGTATCCTCTGCAAAGGAGCCACGGGGGCAGGGTCAACTTCACGTTTCTCAACATCTTCCCACTTCTTTGCTTCACAAAGCCAGGTAAGCAAGTACGGCTCCATCTTGGTGGGCTATTTCTTAGAGGCTTCGGGATCCGTACTTGCAAACTACACAAAGAGAAACAAAACAGATTAATAACAATCACAACAGCAATCATAGATCCAAGTGTTTTTCGTCCAAATTTTAGGGCTGCCAATCTATTAGGTTCCTGAAGCCCCTTGGAACCTCCTGAGGAGGTGACCCAGAAGCTTCCTTTTCTAGGTAAAGACGGGGAAGCAGTGTGGATTCTTTAGTGTGCTCTGAGAGCCATGTGTCACCACACACTTCTTTGTGTCTTTGTATCTCCTGCTGCATTTTGAAGCATTTTTATAGTATGCAACGTTGCCTAATAGAGCATTTTTATATCCAGAAAAAAAAATTACCTACTCTTACATTTCTTAAGGAGTTGGGACCCAAAAATCTTTTGGAAAACAGGGCAGAAGTCGTTCTTCTGTAACTACTTCCTGCTGAAAAGGGGTGTTGAGTCCTTTGGGGTCCCTCCTCCTTGCTTGCTGTCTAAAGGCCTTTCCAGACGCTGTTTTATTCTCTCCCGATTGTGTTCAGTCTCATTATATACTCTTTAGACTTACTAAAGTTAATCTATAACTCTCCTACCACCAAAATATATGGGTCATTTAAAAGCTCTTTAGATTCAGAGCTGTATTTCTTGTAAATTTCTAATGAAGAACTAGAGCCTGATTCTCTATTGTATTTTCCTTCCCAGACTTTTCTTGGTTTACGGCCATAGGCATTTTTCAAAATTCGTTTTATTCAACTCTTAACATTGACCATACTATTTTTGGTTGTGGTCCTACTAATGCCATGTCTCCAGATAATAGAGTTGTTGCTCTCTGTATAAATTCCAAACAATTGTTCTTTATCCATCATCTGAATTGTGTGTTACTGCAAGAGGACTGACCAGTGCAATCAATACTAAGTATCCCCTTAGGGGACCAATAATCAATAGTTCCATAGGAATTGTTGCGCAGCACCTCAGCCTCTATCATAACGCAATCTCTCCAGGTTAATGTTTTTAACTTAGGGGATCATTCTTTATTTGCATTCAGGTTTTGATGGCCAAAACCTTGTTGCTTTATTTCCTAAATTACTACAGAAAATACTAAGGCCAGAGATCATTAAAGGAAGGAAAGAGGATATG